CACTGAAGGCCCTCGCTCCCGTGCCAGCACTGAAGGCCCTCGCTCCCATGCAAGCACTGAAGGCCCTCGCTCCCGTGCCAGCACTGAAGGCCCTCGCTCCCGTGCCAGCACTGAAGGCCCTCGCTCCCGAGGTCCTCGCTCATCCAGAGGTCCTCGCTCATCCAGAGGTCCTCGCTCATCCAGAGGTCTTCGTTCCCGAGGCCCTCGCTCATCCAGAGGTCCTCGTTCATCCAGAGGTCCTCGTTCCTCCAGAGGTCCTCAGTCCTCCAGAGGTCCTCGCTCATCCAGAGGTCCTCGCTCCTCCAGAGGTCCTCGCTCATCCAGAGGTCTTCGTTCCCGAGGCCCTTGCTCATCCAGAGGTCCTCGTTCATCCAGAGGTCCTCGTTCCTCCAGAGGTCCTCGTTCTTCCAGAGGTCCTCGCTCATCCAGAGGTCCTCGCTCATCCAGAGGTCCTCGCTCATCCAGAGGTCCTCGCCCATCCAGAGGTCCTCGCTCATCCAGAGGTCCTCGCTCATCCAGAGGTCCTCGCTCATCCAGAGGTCCTCGCTCATCCAGAGGTCCTCGTTCCTCAAGAGGTCCTCGCTCATCCAGAGGTCCTCGTTCCTCCAGAGGTCCTCGCTCATCAAGAGGTCCTCGCTCATCCAGAGGTCCTCGCTCATCCAGAGGTCTTCGCTCCCGAGGCCCTCGCTCATCCAGAGGTCCTCGCTCATCCAGAGGTCTTCGCTCCCGAGGCCCTCGCTCATCCAGAGGTCTTCGCTCCCGAGGCCCTCGCTCATCCTGAGGTCTTCGCTCCCGAGGTCTTCGCTCCCGAGGCCCTCGCTCCCGAGGCCCTCACTCTTCCAGAAGTCCTCGCTCTTCCAGAGGTCTTCGCTCGAGAGGTCCTCACTCTTCCAGAAGTCCTCGCTCGTCCTGAGGTCGTCGCTCGAGAGGTCTTCGCTCGAGAGGTCTTCGCTCGAGAGGTCTTCGCTCGAGAGGTCTTCGCCCCCGAGGCCCTTGCTCGTCCTGAGGTCTTCGCCCCCGAGGCCCTCGCTCGTCCTGAGGTCCTCGCCCCCGAGGCCCTCGCTCGTCCTGAGGTCCTCGCTCATTCCCCAGAGGTCCTTGCCCAT